AGCAGCATCCAGAAAGTCTAGCTGTGGCACTTCTCGGGGCACCTGGGGTCCATTTGCTAGCTGCCCACTTGGCCAAGCTTGCAAAGAGGCTTCCGGGCCACTCCGCACAATCCTCGAATGTTCTCCTCTGTCCCCAGATAATTTCAGACACAAACAAGCAAGTTCTAGCCTAAAAGCCTTTTACTCCAAGCCATAATGAAAAATTTATCAAAACAGGATTGAGGGAGATTTGAGAAAGAGCAACTAAAGCTGGTGTTTCGCTCAGATGTAATTGGTGATAACTCCTGGATCTGAGCGAGAAACTTGAAACCCTAGATGCATCAGCTTATCTCCCAAAACAAAGTTCCCAAATTACCAGTTAAGCAGAAGTTCAAACCGCACCTCATTCATTTTATGTTCAAAAAAAAAAAAAAAGGTACAGACATCTACAGCCTTCCCAAAGCCCCATGATAACCTCCACAAAGACAACAAACTCAGTGATCCTCTTGGAAAGAAATTCTTGGGCAACAGAGTTTAAAAAACAAAGCAATGTGGGTCTCTCAGCAATTGAGAGCACTGGCTGCTGACACAGAATTCAGGTTCAGTTCCCTGCACCCTCGCGGTGGCTAGTAACTGTCCATAACTCCAGTTCCGGAGGATCTGATGTCCTCTTTTGCCTTCCAAAAGCATTGCACGCATGTGATGCATGAAACATACTTGCAGGGAAGGCTCTCATACACATAAAAATAAAAAATAAATCTTCACAAATAAAAACAAACAAACAAGGCAATGTATCAAGCAGACAAAACCATGTCAAGGAAGTCTGCCAAACCCAAGCTCATCTTCGAGTCTTGGTAATCTGACAGGGTAGAAATCCCTCTGGCAATAGAAGCAAACACAGAAGAAGGAAAAGACCGGTGCCCATGTCAGACTTCTTTCCCGTGTGCGAATTTCACCGAATTTGACCGTGAGAATGAAGTACTCACTAAGGTGACACCAATAACCCTTTTAGTACTCCTCCTCGTGGATCCCAGTGAGAGCCTAACTGATGGTGACCGGGGGGCTCAGAGTCTGTACCAAGTGACTCCACTCACTTTAACGTTCGACTTGCAAAGCCACCACCAAACGGAGCACAAGATCCAGCAAAACGTGTGGTTGTGAGCCGATTCAGAAAGGGGTGGACACCGTGCTTCATTGGGCATCGTCCCATGACATGCTGCAGCGAACAGCACAGACGACAATGTGTTCCGCTGTGTGCCAGCATGGGGGCGGGGGGAGCGAGTGTGGAGAATAGGCAGCAACCTCTGCCACCAAGTGCCATGTTTAGACATCAAGGCCTTTGTCTAAGTGACTAGATGTTCCTAAAAATCCCAAGAGCCCATAGGCACCGTTAAAAGAAGAGAGGCGTCTCACAGTAGGGATGGCCATGCATTCTGTATCATCTGTAAAAAACGGAAAGCATTTAGGCAGAGAATGGGATACATGTGCAAGACTGCTTCCACAAGGCGTCCTAGGGAGTGCACTGGCAAACCGAAAGTCCACAGAGGAGCCACAGCAGGCCAGCAGTGAAGACACACACTCTCGGGTCTCTGTTGCCTGGGCCGTTGGTTAAAAACTAGTGAGGCTGTGCAGTTTGACTCTCGCGATATTATTATTCCTATGTCCATTACTTAGTAACACGAACTGGAACAAAAAGGATAAATTGATAAATTTGACTTACAAAAATAAAAACATTTCATGCTACTAGGTAGCATAAAAATGGGGAAATCGGATTATTATGAACAGATAATTGCCTAAAATACAAATAAACACACCTGCAAATCATGAGATAATAAAAAACTCCAGTGAGAAAAAAAATGAACAAAATACACAGTAGTACTCTGATAAAATAGCTAGACTCAATCGCAATGAAATTAAAACAGCAACAGCAACAAACTCCACGGCAACCAAGGACCAGTGGATACTCAGCTGGTAAAAGTACTCGCCTCCAAGCCTATGACCCCAGTTCAATCCCTGGTACCCACATGATGGAGCCTGAGAACCAACTCCTACAAGCTAGCCTCTGACCTTCATGCACACACCATGGTGTGCGAGCACGCATGCGCGCGCACACACAGGCACACAATGAGAATGTATAAAATGATTTTTAAGAACTAAGACATGAAACAACACAAAAGTCACATGCCTCTCACTGATAAATTGCAAGCCTTTCTAAAAAATTTGCCCACACCGATGAAAATGAAACACACTCTCCACTCTCATTTAGAAGCTCAAAGAAGCTAAATTGGCTTCCAGATCCAGAAGCTTCTTGTTGGAGAGTCTGCCTTGCAGAAAAACAATCAGCAGCTCACAGACATTCCTGCCCAGAGAGATTCATGGAAACATTGTTTTAAGAGTGGAGATATGAATAGCCAAGATGTCTAAAGGCTGTTGAGATAAACCATGATACATTTTTGTAAGAAAGTCTCACCTGTCCTTTTGGAAATGGAATAACGTGGAATAATATTCAGTGGGGAGACAAATTAGACACAAAGTCACACACATTTCCCAACCCTACTTTTATGAACCATTGCACCTGGCAATCGTCACAGAGAGGAAGAAGTGGAGTAAGAAATGCTGAATTCTGTCAGTCCAGATCAACCCAATCCCTTGCTTAGCTGTTAGCAGTAACTGTTTGCCCTGGCTTTTAAAATTGTAGCATTTAGCCAAGGTCAATGTTTAAAGCCATCACAGAAGTTGATAAAGAAATATATTGAATTTCTATTTTTTTTCCAAAAAGGTGGTGGGAACAAGACTTTTATTATTTAAGTATGAAATGTCCACCACGGGCTCACGTGGTGAAGACTTGATGTCCACTTTGCAGTGCTGTTGTGGGAGATGCTGAGAACTTGAGAAGGTAGGGGGTGTCACTACCTGCCTGTCAGGCCTTGGCCTCCCCCCACGCCCCACCCCCCACCCCAGCTGTCCTGTGTGAGCCTCTCACTGGGGATATGCTACGTCACCGCAGCTGGGATTGTGCTTGGTTTGAGAGGCGTAGCAGAATTCTCTCATGTCTTCCAGTTTGGAGCTTCAGCCTTTACAATGACCACCAGATAGTGCACGCTATTTCATCACATTTTGTGATGCATCTAGAATTTACCAAACCCTTGCACACACTGTATTACATGCTGTTTGTCTTTTTTTTTTTTTGCTTAAAGAATAATTTCATGTGGTTTTTATATTTTCATCATACTCTACAAATTCCAACTTATTAGGTCTCAAACCCAGGACAAATGGCTAGTTGAGATGCCCCATTAACATATCAAAGTTGATGTTGGCCATGACAGGTTTGGTATGCCCTACCCCCTACCCTGACCTCCCCAGACCAGCTGGGCTACCCTCCCCCAGCTCCTCTGGCTCCGACATAACTCAGTCATTTTAGCTATACCAGTCTCTTGGCCCAGGCTGCCCCTCTTGGGCAGCGGCTCCTCCATTGCTCTCCCCCTCCCCCCTCTCCTCAAGTGGCCCAGCTCGGTCTGGCCATGTTCACTCTAGACTCTCCCAGATGTCCCTGCCTCTGCCTATGCTCTCCCCTTTATCTATAGATAAACTTCTTTCTCTATCATACCTAGGAATAGTCATGTTCTTCCTTTTTTGTTTCTTTTTTTTTTTTTTTTATTCATCTGGTGCTGAGACCTGGGACCGACCCAGCTTGTGATCTAGCACAGCCTTATGTAAAATCGATGGAGCCAAGATCTTAGATCCATTTGAGGTCTGTGAAAAAAAACAGACACACAAGGATCAATCAATCATCACTCATCAGTCAATCAACCTCTGTGTGGGATAAACGACAAATCATTCAGTGCTCTTAGTCACTGAAGGGTATAATTAATAAACCATGAGAAATAATGAGGAAGGACAGAGGGAAAAAGGACACGAAAGAGGAAGCGTTGGGAGGAGGAGGAGAAGGACGAGAAGGAGGAGGAGGAGGAGGAGGACGAGGAAGAGGAGGAGGAGGAGGAGGACGAGGAAGAGGAGGAGGAGGAGACACAGCATCACAAACGTTAAGTTGTCTCCCTGTGGGGACTCGGCTGCCACAGACATTTCTCAGGCTAGCTCAGCTTAGACTGTCCAGATCCCTGAATTCAGGCAGTCGCTCAGCCTTTGATCCCTTTGACATCTTATTCTTAACAAGGAAAGAATGGGAGTTAATTCATCTACTCAGACTCCTCGGTGCTGGTTTTTGCCTTCCTCTCCATCCCTTCCCGTCTGCATGGGCCCTCTAGTAGCATTGGGTGTTACTGCACTGAGATACTGAGGCACGGAGTAACCAGGAGGAGAGACATGCATGAAGACTGACATAAAGTCCGTTGGCGGAAAGACTGGCAGTCCCTCCCCACCAGGACAAAAATATGTCCTGTCCAACACAGGGGATGGTGGGCACGCTGTGGTCCTGGCTTTCTGGCCAGGTTGGCCAATTCCACCTTGGATAAACACTCTTAATATTTTTGATAAACTATCTCCAATTCTATGTTCCAGGACACAAGACTGGGAAGACCCCAGTGTGAGCTCTCCTGACTCCAATACAGACCTCTAACAATATTGTGGTAGTAACTGTAGCTTTCTTGGCAAAATTTTCTCGTTCTATTACCGCCTGCCCATCCAGGAGAACAGCCTCTGTCAATCAAAGAGTTTGGGCAGTTTGTGGAATCCTTTGAGCCCTAAACGAAATAGCAACACCCCAACACTATTTCCTATCTGTGTAGGAGAAACTCATTCTAACACCGCGTGCTTGCGTAGAGTTGTTAGGTCTCAAGGACTGTGTCTGAAATGGGATTTACACCAGCTGTTTTTGAGATCGGCTTCTGCCCTTGTTGCATTAGAGGTTTTTGTTGTTGTTAGTTAGTTTTAGCTTAGAAGAAACCCATGAGTGCCCTAATTGAACCTACTGTGTTGTTAAGAGGTTTTCTATAGAGGCTGTGGCATTTGGAAGCTGTGGTGAAACCTGCCACTCACTGTGCTCCACTTACTCAGAGGGACTGTCACTAAGGGCATCTGTCGTGTATAGCACCTGACACCACACTGGTACATTGTAGGGAGAGATCCAGGTACCTGTGGCGCTGACCACGCCCGTTTTGGGTGTGGCCACAGGTGTGTGGAATAAAGGGCTGAGGAGAGGGGCACTCACTCTCTTTCAGGGTTCTGGTCTGGTCTTGAAAGGTTGCAGAGACTAACCTGGGCTTTCGGTTTCTCAAGGGCATGCCAGCAGCCCAACCTGACCCAGGCAATTTCTCACTGAGACTCTCTTCCCAGGTGATTCTAAACGTGGCAGCTTGCCGATTAACCGCAGCACTAACCTTCACAGAGTAGGAGGCCATGACGACGCAGATGCTGTAGGAACGTGTATGTGGTATGTGCGTATGCATGCTTACGTCTGTGAGTGTGCGTGTGTGTAGGCGTGTCCGTGTACATGTGTGGGCACACATGCAGAAAGCAGAGGTTGCTCTTTGGCGACTTCCTGGTTTCTCTCCACAGTATGTACCGAGGCAGGGGCTCTCACTGAGCCCAGTGCCTGCTATCTAGTCAGCCTGACCTAGGGTCCCCTGTCTCTGTCCCCCAAGTACTGGGATTGTAGTTAAGCCACCTTGGGGTGCAGGGGATCCGAATCCCGATCTTCGTGCTTTCATGGCAAATTCTTTATCTGGGAAGAGACTCCCCCTCCCCCGCCCCCATTCCCCTTCTTTTAAACTTTCTGTCTTATGTTCCAGAATCCCACCTGGAATGCCAAATTGCATTTAGTCATCATGCCTCCTTCGGCTGCTCTTGGCCATGAACATTTCTCAAGCTTGTCTTATTTTTGACAGCCTCAAGAGTTTTAAGAGACCTGATCAGGTATGCCACAGGATGGTCCTCTGTTGAGATTTGTTGGGCACTTTGGTCATGGTTGGATTTGGAGGTAGAAGGTTCGGTGAAAGGGTGCACACTCGGTATTTGACCATGACCCCTAGCAGGTGTACAATGGGTTTCTCCACTGACGCTTTGCCATGGCCAATGCCCATCGATTCAATTCTGTGATCTTTGGAAGGAAACCAACCTAGAGAGCATGAAGTCTTGCTTCCCGGTAGATTTTTTTGAGAACACACACACACACACACACACACACACACACACACACACACATACACACACACAAAACCCACTTAATCCTACATGACATGTGTGTAACCACCTCCCAACTGGGAGAGTGAAGGATTTCCCCTCTACACAAACACTACCTGTACAAGCTGTTGGGGGGAAACCAAAGAGAAGGGTTTGGTTGCCATTCTGTGCAGGGAAGAGAGAGGAAGAGCTCCACCTAAGACGCCTATGGGACCAGAAGTCTGCAGCAACCAGAAACGAGCGAGAGCATGAGAGAGAGAGCGAGAGAGAGCCATGAGAGTGTGTATGCCAGACTGGTCACTCCTAGGAAGGAGTTCCTCTCGTTTGCTTACATTCCGAGAACAAGGTGACCCCAGATGGCAGCTGAGATATATATCCTCACTTGAACTATGTATGTAGTAACTGCTTAAGACACACACTGTATCAGGCAAGGGAGGGCCAGGGAAAGGCAGGAGGGCTACTTAAGCGGTCTGCTTCTTGGGAAACCCTCCGAGAAACACAAGGGCCACCAGCTGCTAATCCATTCATCTTGTTTGGTTCCCTCATGAACTCCCAGGATCGCGGTTCACTAGGCTCTTTCCAAAATTGAAATGCACTCTTAAAAGAAACAGACACATGAAAGCGCCCCCTTGTGTTTTTACTTGTCTTTCAGCCTTGCCGGGTCAAGCCCCGCCTTTGCAGGTGCGGATCAAATTCCCCACCCACTGAGCCCCAAACTCTGTGAACAGGTTGAAAGAGGCAATCCAAAGATGAAAAGGAGAAGCACCTGTTAGAGCTGGGCGAGATGAAACATCACCCAGCGATGGCCAGTGTGGAAGAAGAAAGGGCTCTGTGACTACAAGCCTCTATTTCCCATTTTGCCCTCAACTACTTTTAGTACTGGTCTGTTCGGATCCCTCCGCTAAGAAGCAAAACGGGATTCTAAGAGAATCCAGAGGCCATTTTCTGTCTCTTTGGAGTCTTTGTTGGGATTGCTGGGTTTCCCATAGATTTGCTCTTAGTGCTTTGAGAGCTAGGAGAGCTCATCTTAAAATCAACTCGGTGTTCAAGCCAGAAACCCGTTGCGAAAGAGAGAAAGGCGACTTGGAAGCTCGGACACACGTGACTACTCTCATCCCTTTGAAGGGTGGCGCGTGTGAGCCTGCACGAGCTCCGTCCTCTGGCATCCGCTGTACCTCCAGGGTACCCGAGGAAGCCCACGCTCCCTGTCCTCTCTCCTTCGTCTTCCTCCCACAACCCATGTCCTGGCCCCACTAACAGCCAGATCCTGTCGGGGACTAAGAGCACGTGCTTCTCCACCAGGGTAAAGCTGTCTCCAAGTGCTCCGCCGGCCGGCTGCCAGCTGTTCTCCCCACCCCCGTTCTAAGTTCCCACAGCTGTTGAGTTGGGCCCTGCTCTGAGCTGGAATGTTCTGTGAAGAGATGCAGAAGCAGTTCCATTTATTCAGGGAAGAAAGGAGACATGACTGGGAGGGGCACCCATCTGCCACATGCTGGAGACCAGTCAGACCACACGTGAATGGACACACATGCTAGGAGGGCAGAACCCCAGGGAAGGGGTTTCATTCCAGAAGGTTCCAAGAGCAAGGGCGAGCAGAGGACACGGGCGATTGTGAGCAACAACAGGGTGGAGTAAGGAACCAGGAGGCCGTATTTCCAGCAGCACTCGCTGGGAAAACTTTTCATCCTGACAAGGCCCCAAGGCCACCACCCCACTCCAAAACCTGTGGAGGAATGTACCTCATACCAAGGACAAGTTAATAGTTAATCCGTTTTATTCTGCCACTCTTCTACCAAATGCCCAATGCTGGCGCCAGAGTGATGAACGACGGGAGCGTTCCCAGTCTCCTTCAACATGCAACACACCGGGAACCAAACACGGGAGCTATTGGAAACGGGTGTGGGCTTCGCGGAAACCGTGGTACCACGTTGGAATCGGCACAGAAGGAAAGCGGGAAGCCGCTCTGGGTCTTCTCCATCAGGCCAATGACCACAAGCTATTCTTCTTTCCGGGTCTACGCACACAGTTGCTCAGGGTGCCGAGAGACGTGTGGCCAGGCTAGACTGCAGCAGCCTAAACCGTGCAAAACAAGAGTGGGAGCGACCAAACATTGGAAGGAAAACCCACCCGTGCAGTTGAGGGGACTCGGTGGCCCACAGTCACCTGTCTTCTGGAAGCCAATCTAGCTCCCCAGGCAGTCCACCTGCCGCGGAAGACCTTGCTGTTGTTTCCAGGAAATGAGAAATGCACTCTGTGTGGCCCTGAACCTCACTCAAGGTAGGGGGCCTCTACTGCTCTGGCCAAAGGTTTGGGAGCTAAAAAGAGAGCCGCGGAGATGACGGTAAACCAGGGGGCTGGCACAATTCCACGTGGCGACGAAGGAGCCCTCGGGCACTGGGTCCATCTCCAAACAAGAAACAAAGAGAAAGAATTCATGACCACAGAACCCCTTCCAAGCCCTCACCAGTACCCTGGCTGAACCTAGCTATCGGCCCACAGGAAAAAGGAAGGCAGGAGGCTCGTTGGCTGCCAAGTCACAGCTGTGCCTCGGCTTCTGGCACGGGTGGCACTGTACGGGGATCCAGGGCGGAATGCAAATATTTTGGTTCCCGCTGGAGAACTATGACACGGCTGTCAGTCAAGCCTCCACGCTGGGAGCAGGAGAGCTGCGGAAGGTTTTCAGTAGCGCTGGGCGCAGATCCATGCGGATCTGGAGATGCAGAGGGAGAGGTGACAGAGACGGGCAGCCCCCCCCCAGGTGTGATGAAAGGTGAGGGATGACTGAAAGGAGGGGCAGCAGGCGCCTTAGGAAGCGAGACATCACCTGCTCGACACGCCTTGGTCCCTTGCACGTGGAAGGGGAGTCAGCTTCCCTGCAAGGGAAGGGCTGGGGTAGATTTCACTTGCAGTGCAAGCACAAGAACTTCTGGTGAGTCTCGCTGTGCAAAACTAGAGGAGATCACCTTCCAAGGCTGGGAGCGCCGGGCAGCACTCAAGCAGGCTTCCATGAGAGCGGCTGCAGCAGTCACGGTCCAGCCGAAGCCTGTTATTACAGTAGGCTTTCACTCCGCATGGCTTTCACCTTCTAAGTCAACCTGAGACACGCTCATACTTAAAGCTCAGCCCAAGTCCTATCTCCAAGGCGCTGAGTGCTTTTACACACACACACACACACACACACACACACACACACACACACACACACAAGCTGAGTCATGTTCATACTTAAAGCTCAGCCCAAGTCCTATCTCCAAGGCACTGAGTGCTTTTACACACACACACACACACACACACACACACACACAGGCGCGCATGCATGCGTACACAGGCACGTGCACACATGCACACAACGCATGCACACACATACACACATGCACACACATGCATGCAAGCACACATGCATGCATGCACACATGCATGCAGACACATACACATGTACACACATGCATACACACGTGTGTGTACATGTATGCACACGCATGCACACGCACACACACATCCCCCTTTCTTGAGGGAAGTGCATACCACCTGTTTCATTTACATGGCTTTGTTTCACCTGATCATCTAGTTCTTATATCTCGATCAGAGAGAGAGGAGGGGGGAATATGGGTATGGATGTTCTCTTTAGGACAGTCTCTCGCTGGCCTGGAACTCACCCAGTCAGTGAGGCTGCCCCAGTGCTGATTCCAATCCTCCCCGCCACACCTGGGTTCTGGGACTGGCGCTCGGGTCCTCATGCTTGCTAGGTGAGTGTGTTCCCGACTGCTGTCTCCCACTCTGCAGTCACTTTTCCTAGGTTTACCTCACATAGGTCCCTCAAGGGCAATAACTTCAGGTCCCTCAAACTAGCCTTGCAAGCAGGAAAATGTCCAACTTGCTCATTCATCGCCGGAATCCCCCAGCGTCTGCTCTGAAAAGCCGCAGGGTTTGGCGTAAATTTCTGTGCATGCAGACACAAGAACCCCGTGGGCTCTTCAAGACGTCTGATTTTGATTATTTCATTTCCTGATTATACGCACTTGGGCTTCAGTTTTATTGAGCTAAATATTTCTTCCAATTAAAATAGTATTTCTTCCAATTAAAATAGTATTCTTCCACAGTGTATTTTTAGGGAAGAGGGCAAGATGAAAGCTTTTTAAATTAAAACCATTTTTTAGCCCATCACAAAACAAAAGCAGTGACTCGGCCGCAGAATGTCACCCAGAAAACCAGCCGCTTAAGGGGGCGATTAATTTTTCTCACGGCTGATTCAAACCAGTGCAATTGACACAACTCGATTATCCCCCCACCAAGAGAGTTCCTTTGTGAGTATTCCGAGCTCAAAGCCTGTGACAGATCAACATGGCTATCAATGAAAAGGCCACAAGGAACTTTTCCGGGCCAGAGAAACTGGATTGGCTGTACCTAGTGAGCAAGACTCTGGTTCAGACGAGAACTCATTTACAGGGGGTTCCTTTTTCTACACACTGTCCTTGATGTGGGCAGGTTCTTAGTACTAGTGCTAAGTTCAGTTTTATTTTATTTACTTAAGGGGTTCACTTCATGCCAAACACCAAGGCCGTTTGATCTGCCTTAAGACATTGCTTTGGAATAGGCACCCAGTCCGTCCCCCATACCAATTCCTCTTGGTACTTTGGGGATGCAGATCACACAGCGGATACCTCAGACCTTCTTTGCGTGTTGAAAGTCACCGTGTGTGCGCATTTGGGCTTCTTATTGAAAAAAAAAGGGGGGGCTGTAGCCTTGAAAACTCCTGTGAGCTCTTTACATAAATAAATTCTACACGCCATTTCCACAGAGGCCCTGCCTTGTTCTGTGACCTCACTTGTTAGCACATGTCAGAAACTGTAAAAGTAAGGGTCACTAGATACAAGGTTTTTCCCTCCATGCCCAGAGACAGCCCGCCTGCACCTGCTGATTCACTCACAATAGAGACAATCCCATTTGCCGGGAAGCAAGAAACGTAGAGCAGACCATTCTATACCCACGAGGGGCCAGATTCTGCCAGATAAATACACTCTTGAAACCAACTGAGTTCTTGCTAGAGCGGTTTTCCCTTCTGAGCACATAAATCACAAAAGCTCACCCACCTCTACGGCCCCGTGCTTCAGCTTCTAGGTATCAACAAGCAACAGCATCTAACTGACAGGCTCTCCCATGCTCCTTATTTTGTTTGTAAGACTTACTGTTTAAGTTGTGCGCATGTGTGGGGGCGGAGGGGATGTGGGGGCGGAGGGGATGTGGGGGCGGAGGGGACGTGTGCGCATGCCCACGTAAGTACGATGCCCACGGAGGCCAAAAGAGGGCCTCAGATTCCCTCGCGTTGGAGTTATAGGCGGTTGTGATCTTCCCAGCATGGGTGCTGGGCCACCTCTCCATTCCCAGAGTCCCGCTATCCTGCTATCCTCCTCCAGAGTCCCGCCCCTGTGCCGTGGCCTGAACGACGCCACAAACACAAAGTCTCAAATTCCCTGGTGAATCCTGTGCACTCTGAATCTTCACCCTTACCCTACTGGAGGGACACGTGTATTCAGTTCGCCTATCTGATGAGCCTGACCTTGTGTGGAGTAACTAACTAGAGCAGCATTTGTCCGCCGCAATGGAGAGCTCTCTCTGGTCCCTATGGGTCATTCTCTGACCATCTCCGGTCTCCTCTGCACCCAAGAAGACTGAGTGATACAGAATGAAGGGCTGGACCTCCTTGTCGTCCCTCTGGGTCCTGGTTAGTATTGGCCATGGAGGAGCTCTACCGTTGATCAGACGCATGAGATCTTCTGGCAATCTGCCTGGCAGGTGCACATGCCATTCTGCTGAAGGCACGGCCACTGCCCCCATGTCCCCTCGTCCCTAACCCTAACATCATAGTGTGGCTTCAGTCATAGGGGTTCTTCTCTGGATTACCCAAGCCACAGAAACACCTTCACAAGTAAAACCTAAATTTAAATTACTGCTTAAGCATGTGTCTCTTTCCTATTTTGTCTAGTATTCTTCATACATGCCTCTCCCCGACATTTTGAGCCATGGTTTACAGGTAGACACCTTCCAGCCTATGGTTTAACGACACAAACAGATTTAATACTGATTTATATCATTGGGATAGAGAGTATCCTGTATAGACTAAGTGATAGAAACCTTTAATAACAAAAGTGAAAACCTGTACTATAGGAGAGGTAATACATGTGGAGGCTTTTAATTGAGAGCAGTTTGGAATTTACTATGGAAAGCAAATGACTCAGAAACAACTCTCGGAAGCCTTGGAGATCAACAGGTGCAGAGGGACGTCCTTCCCATCGGTGGAGATGGCTTAGCAGACTCTAACAGCATCTAACAGTCTTCGATGCTTTACACTAGAGTCAAGCCAGGAGCCACTGAGCGGGGGTTTAGCCAGGCTGAATCCATTTAAAGGAAGCATAGTGCAACACCCATTTGACTGGGTTTCCTTTAAGAGCTAAGTTAAGGGGATACCGGGGAAACAGTGCTGCCCTCGAACCCAAAGAATGGTATTTCATGATTGACCATGACTCCCTGGGACAACTCTACCCAGGGAGCCTATTCCTGCCACTATTACATTTGTGACTAAGTCTCCTGTGTCGGTGACAGTACAAGCATCCCATGTACACACAGGGAGTGTGGAAACAGCTCCTAGACGCCAGCTCTCTGTCACCCACGACAAAAGTCATCAGTGAGGCTCGGGGCAGGGCCTTAGACCACAATGTATCTGAGGGTCCATCCTAAGACTTTCTCCTCTATTGGGGTGTTAAAAAAAATCTCTAAACAAGGTTATCCCAGCATTCTCCTCAATCCTCTGCTGTCATTTAACCTCAGCTTCAACTAGGAAGGGCAGAGCACACCCACAGTTCTGCGTTACCTCATTATTGCGAGGCCCCTCAAGAATAACTAAGGACTCGAATCAAGCCAGGAGTACAAGGATGGTAGCTCCAGAGGCGGCCTCCATCTGCTCTAGGTAAACTGAGTTCTCTTGCCCTCGCCTTGCCGAGCCCACATCCTGCTTCCCTTACCCTGGGAATGAGTCTGGGGATACTCAAAGACACACTAAAAGAGGGAAGAAAATCTTATGAACACTTGGGTTTTTTTGTTTTGAACTTGACAAATTCTATGTCATTTCTTTCATCTGTGGCAAAATTGAATTCCCCTTTTTTAATGTAAATGCCTTTAGTGACTAGTGTCAAAAGAAAGAAAGAAAGAAAGAAAGAAAGAAAGAAAGAAAGAAAGAAAGAAAGAAAGAAAGAGAAAAAAATCAGCCGGGTGGTGGTGCACGCCTTTAACCCCAGCACTTGGGAAAGAGGCAGGTAGATCTTTTACCCTGGTCTACAGAGCAAGTATCAGGACAGGCTGCAAAGCTACACAAAGAAATCTTGTCTCAAAAAATAAGTAAAAAAAAAAATCAAGCCGGGCGTTGTTGGCGCATGCCCTTAATCCCAGCACTCGGGAGGCAGAGGCAGGCGGATCTCTGTGAGTTCGAGGCCAGCCTGGTCTACAGAGAGAGTTCCAGGACAGCCTCTAAAGCAATACAGAGAAACCCTGTCTCGAAAAACCAAAAAAAAAAATCAAATGTGGTAGGAACTATGATGTTAACTTACTACTTTGGATCTAGAGAGCAATAGAACACATTCTGTCTGTCTGTCTGTCTGTCGGTCTATTTATCCATCTATCTATCTAATCTCTCTATCTTTCTCAGTCTCCCTCTCTATCTCTCTCTCCCTACTCTCTCTTCATTTTTGCAAGAGCAACCAAGCTGTATGGAAGCCAAAAAAACTGTGGACAGGTCCACACAGAGAAGAACCAATGTTCCCATGACCTTTGGCCTAAAGACCTCCAACTCTGGCCTTCAAACACTCTGCTAACAGCCGGAAGAGACTTGCCGCCAAGGTGGGTAGACAGACCATCTAGGAAGTGGAACTTACAGCCGCTCGTGAAGCCACGTGGAGTGGAACTGACCCTTCCCATTGGGACCAGCTTGGACTAGAGGTGGCAGGGTAAGCAAGCGATGTTTGCGTAAGTCAGCCGTCTGGCAACAGCTAACCCGATGCGGTCTTGTCAGACGGGTCCTCACCCGGAGAATGTGCAACGAGGCAGATTCTATAGCTTTTGCACTTTTTCAAGCACGGGGAATCTAAATATAACCCCCAAAGCAACTGTGTGACCTTTTGCCCCTTGAGACACTGTCGGCTTTGAAAGCTAGAAAAATCAAAGAGGAAAGGAAATAAAGATAAGGTCACGAGGGGGGCGGGGGACACGGACAGACTTGTGGACGTCCCAAGCCCTACCCCTTCTCTTTAGGATCCCTGGGACACTTCCTTCTTCCCAAGCTGTTTATTTTTGCTGGCAAGAGCA